AGTTCGCAACGAACATATAAGACTACATCGAAGCAGGTATAACGCACACAACAGGCAAAACAAGAAACTTCGACTCCGACTATGTTCACAATGTAACTCCGCATTCTAGCATCTGACATGCCTACAGGTATAGCAGATACGATCACACTGACCATAAAAGGAGACTTCGAAGGACATTCAACGAGAACGATGAGCAAGTGAAGTTTCTTCGACAACATCAGTATGCACACTGTATCTCTGTATTCTATCATCTCACATGGATACCTCTGGAGCATATCAGTTCGCAACGATCATATGAGATGACATCGAAACGATTATAACGCACACAACAGACAAAACATGCAACTTCGACTTCGACTATGTTCACGCTGTATTGCTGCATTCTTGTATCTGACATGCCTACAGTTATAACAGATACGATCGCACTGACCATATAGGACGACGTCGATGGATATATAACGAGAACAATAGGCAAGTGAAGATACTTCAACAACATCAGTCTGCACATTGTTTCTTTGTATTCCATTATCTCACATGGATACCTCTGGAGCATATTAGTTCGCAACGAACATATAAGACGACATCGAAGCAGGTATAACGCACACAACAGGCAAAACAATAAACTTTGACTCCGACTATGTTCACACTGTAACCTCGCATTCTAGCATCTGAAATGCCTACAGGTATAGCAGATACGATCGCACTGACCATAGAAGGAGACTTCGAAGGACATTTAACGAGAACGATGAGCAAGTGAAGATTCTTCGACAACATCAGTATGCACACTGTATCTCTGTATTCTATCATCTCACATGGATACCTCTGGAGCATATCAGTTCGCAACGATCATATGAGGTGACATCAAAACGATTATAACGCACACAACAGACAGAACATGAAACTTCGACTTCGACTTTGTTCACACTGTATTGCTGCATTCTTGTATCTGACATGCCTACAGTTATGACAGATACGATCGCACTGACCATATAGGACGACATCGATGGATATATAACAATAGGCGAGTGGAGATACTTCAACAACATCAGTCTGCACATTGTTTCTGTGTATTCCATTATCTCACATGGATACCTCTGGAGCATATCAATTCGCAACGATCATATATGAGACAACATCGAAATGGGTATAACGCAAAGAACAGGCAGAGCAAGAAACTTCGACTTCGACTATGTTTTCACTGTAACTCTGATTCTAGAATCTGATACGTCTATTCAAGAAGCATATATAACAGCTTATTCTGTGCGAGTGGAATACTATACTTTTTCATATCCACCAAACAAGAGTATTCGCCAAAACTTCAAACTCATCAATCTTAATAAAACGTCGGTTATTCATCTCATAAGTAGACATTGTCATGTGTTTCTTAGATTATAATAACGCGAACAACAAAGAGAACAAGAAACTTCGACTCTGACTATGTTCACACTGTGTCTCGGAATTCAAGCATCTGACGAAACAGATACGATCGCACTGACCATATAGGATGAGTTTGAAGGACATATAACGAGATTGATAGGCAATTGAAGATACTCCGACTACATCAGTCTGCTCACCGTATCTCTGTATTCTGACATCTCACATGGATACCTCTGGAGCATACTAGTTCGCAACGATCATATGAGACGACAGCAGAACCGGTTTAACGCACACAACAGGCAGACCATGAGACTTCGATTTCGACTATGTTCACACTGTTACTTCGCATTATAGCATCTGACATGCCTACAGTTATAGCAGATATGATCGCACTGACCATAAAAAACTACTTTGACGGACATATAACGAGAGCAATAGGCAAGTGAAGAAACCTCGACAACATCAGTCTGCACACTGTATCTCTGTATCCCATCATCTCACATGGATACTTTCGAGGCATATCGGTTCGCAACGTTCATATGAGACGACATCGATGCGGATATATCGCACGCAACAGGCAGAACAAGAAACTTCGACTTCGACTATGTTCACACTGTAACTAAACATTTTAGAATCTGATATGCCTACAGGTATAGTATATACGATCTCACTGACCAAATAAGATGACTTCGAAGGATATATAACGAGAACTGAAGATACCTTGACAGCATCAGTTTGCACACTGCATCTCTGTATTCTATCATCCCACATGGATATTTTTAAAGCATATTAGTTCGCAACGATCATATAAGACGGAATCGAAGCTGGTATTACGCACGCAACAGGCAGAACAAGAAACTTAGACTTCGACTATGTTTACACCGTAACTTCACATTATAGAATCTGATATGCCTACAGCTATAGTAGATACGATCGCACTAACCATATAAGATGACTTCGAAGGACATATAACAGGAACAATAGGCAAGTGAAGATACCTCGACATCAGTCTGCACACTGTATCTCTGTATTCTATCATCTCACATGGATACCTGGAGCATATCAGTTCGCAACGATCATATGAGATGACATCATAACGGGTTTAACGCACACAACAGACAGAACATGAAACTTCGACTTCGACTATGTTTACACTGTATTGCTGCATTCTTGTATCTGACATGCCTACAGTTATGACAGATACGATCACACTGACCATATAGGACGACTTCGATGGATATATAACGAGAACAATAGGCAAGTGGAGATACTTCAACAACATCAGTCTGCACATTGGTTTTCTCTGTATTCCATTATCTCACATGGATACCTCTGGAGCATATCAGTCCGCAACGATCATATGAGACGTCATCAAAACAGGTATAACGCACACAACAGGCAGAACATGAAACTTCGACATCGACTATGTTTACACTGTTACTTCGCATTCTAGCAATCGACATGCCTACAGCTATAGCAGATAGGATCGCACTGACCATAAAAGACGACTTCGAAGAACATATAACGAGAGCGATAGGCGAGTGACGATACCTCGACAACATTAGTCTGCACACTGTATCTCTGTATTCTATGATCTCACATAGATACTTCCGGGGCATATCGGTTCGCAACGATCATTCAAGACGACATCGATGCAGGTATACCTCACGCAACAGGCAGAACAAGAAACTTCGACTTCGACTAAGTTCATACTGTAACTTCACATCCTAGAATCCGATATGCCTACAGCAATTATAGTATATACGATCTCACTGACCATATAAGATGACTTCGAAGGACATATAACGAGAACAATAGGCAGTGGAAATACTTCGACAACATCAGTCTGCACACTGTATCTCTGTATTCTATCATCTAACATGGATACCTCTGGAGCATATCAGATCGCGACGATCATATGAGACGACATCAAAACGGGTATAACTCACACAACAGGTAGAACATGAAACTGCTACTTCGACTATGTTTACACTGTAACTTTGCATTTTAGCATCCGACATGCCTACAGCTATAACAGATACGATCGCACTGATAATTTGGGACGACTTAGAAGGACATATAACGAGAACAATAGGCGAGTGAAGATTCTCCGACAACATCAGTCTGCACTCTGTATCTTTGTTATATATCATCTCACATGGATACCTCTGAAGCATATCAATCCGCAAAGAACATATTGGACGACATCACAACAAGTATAACGCACACAACAGGCAGAACAAGAATCTTCGACTTTGAATTTGTTCACACTGTTACTTTGCATTCTAGCATCCGACATGCCTACATTCACAGAAACGATCGCATCGACTATATAAGACGACTCCAAGGGACATATAACGAGAACAATAGGCAAGTAATGGTATTTCGACAATATCAGTCTGCTCAACGTATCTCTGTAATCTGACATCTCACGTGGATACCTCTGGAGCAGATTATATCGCAACGATCACATAAGACGACATCGAAGCAGGTATAACGCACACAACAGGCAGAACAAGAAACTGCGACAATGTTCGCACTGTAACTTTGCATTCTAGAATCTGTTATGCTACAGTTATAGCAGATACGATCGCACTGACCATAAAAGACAACTTCGAAGGACATATAACGAGAACAATAGGCAAGTGAAGATACCTCGACATCAGTCGTGCAGACTTTATCTCTGTATTCTATCATCTCACATGGTTACTTTCGAGGCATATCAGTACTCAACCATCATATAAGACGTTACCGAAGCGGATATAACGCACACAATGGGCAGAATAAGAAACTTCGACTCCGACTATGTTCGCACTGTTACTCCGCATTCTAGCATCTGACATGCCTACAGTTATAGCAGATACGATCGAACTTATTATATGAGACGACTCTGAAGGATAAATAACGATAACAATAGGCTAGTTAAGATATTTCGACATAATCAGTCTGCACACTGTATCTCTGTATTCTATCATCTCACATGTGTGCCTTCGAAGCATTTGAGTTTGCAACGATAATATAAAATGGCATCGAAGGAGACATAACTCACATATCAGGAAGAACTAAAAATTTCGACTTCGAATATGTTTACAGTGTGGCTCTGGATTCTAGCATTCGACATGCTTTCAGTTGAAGCAGATACGATCGCACTGAATATATTGGACGACTTCGCAGGACATGTAATGAGAACAATAGACAAGTGACGATAGTTCGACAACATCAGTCTGCGAACTGTATCTCTGAATTCTTCCATTTCACACGAATTCCTTTGGAGCATTTGAGTTCGCAACGATCAAATAAGAAATCGGAGTGGGTATAACGCACACAACAGGCAGAACAAGAATCTTCGACTTCGACTATGTTACACTGTAACTATGATTCTAGCATCTGTGATGCCTATTCAAGAAGCATATAATATGACAGCTCATTATATGCGAGTGGAATACATTTTTTCATATCTACCAGAAACTTCGATCCAAACAATCAAGAGTCGATGAACCGGCGTGTTCGCAAAAACTTCGAACTCTTCAATCTTGATAATAAGTCGGTTATACATCTCACAGGTGGACATTGTCAAGTGTTGCCGGAATAACGCAACCAACAGACAGAACAAAAAACTCCGACTATGATTGAACTGTGGCTCTGAATCCAAGCATCTGAAATGCCAACAGTTGGAACTGATACGATCGCACTGACCATATAGGACGAGTTTGAAGAACATATAACGAGATCAATTGGCAAGTTGATATACCGCGACTACATCAGTCTTCACACTGTATCTCATCATTCTATCATCTCACATGAATACTTTTGGAGCGGGTATAACGAACGCAACAGGCAGAACAGGAAACTTCGACTTCGACTATGTTTACACTGTAACTTCACATTCTAGAATCTGATATGCCTACACCTATAGCAGATACGATCGCACTGACCATAAGAGACGACTTTAAAGGACATATAACGTGAACAATAGGCAAGTGAAGATACAACGACAACATCAGTCTGCACTCTGTATCTCTATGTTCCATCATCTCACATGGAAACTTCCGAGGCATATTAGATCGCAACGATCATATGAGACGATATCGATGCGGGTATAATGCTCACAACAGGCAGAACATGAAACTTTGACTCCGACCATGTTCACACTGTGGCTCGGAATTCGAGCATCTGACATGCCTACAGTTGAAACAGATACGATCGCACTGACCATATAGGACGAGTTTGGAGGATATATAACGAGATTAATAGGTAGAGTGAAGTTACTTCGACTACATCAGTCTGCACACTGTATCTTTGTATCCTATCATCTCACATGGATACCTCTGAAGCATATTATTTCGCAACGATCATATAAGACGACATCGAAGCAAGTATAACGCACACAATAGGCAGAACAAGAAATTTCGAGTATGACTATGTTGACACTGTAACTTCGCATTCTAGCATCTGACATGCCTACAGTTATAGCAGATACGATCGCACTTATCATATGAGACGAATTAGAAAAACATATCACGAGAACAAAGAGCAAGTGAAGATTCTTCGACAACATCAGTCTGCACACTGTCTCTCTGTATTCTATCATCTCACATGGATACCTCTGAAGCAAATTAGTTCGCAACGATCATATAAGACGACATCGAAGCGGGTATAACGCACGCAACAGGCAGAACAGGAAACTTCGACTTCGACTATGTTCACACTGTAACTTCACATTCAAGAATCTGATATGCCCACACCTATAGCAGATACGATCGCACTGACCATAAGAGACGACTTTAAAGGACATATAACGTGAACAATAGGCAAGTGAAGATACAACGACAACATCAGTCTGCACTCTGTATCTCGATGTTCTATCATCTCACATGGAAACTTCCGAGGCATATTAGATCGCAACGATCATATAAGACGATATCGATGCGGGTATAATGCTCACAACAGGCAGAATATGAAACTTTGACTCCGACCATGTTCACACTGTGGCTCGGAATTCGAGCATCTGACATGCATACAGTTGAAACAGATACGATCGCACTGACCATATAGGACGAGTTTGGAGGATATATAACGAGATTAATAGGTAGAGTGAAGTTACTTCGACTACATCAGTCTGCACACTGTATCTCAGTATGCTATCATCTCACATGGATACCTTTGGAGCATATAAGTTCGCAATTATCGTATAAAATGACTTCGAAGCGGGTATAACGGACACAACAGGCAAAACAATAACTTCGACTCCGACTATGTTCTCACTGTAACTTCGCATTCCAGCATCTGTAATGTCTACAGCTTCAGCAGATACGATCGCACTGACCATAAAAGACGACTTCGAAGGACATATAACGAGAACAATAAGCAAGTAGGGATTCTTCGACAACATCAGTCTGCACACTGTGTCTCTGTATTCTATCATCTCACATGGATACATTTGGAGCATATTAGTTCGCAACGACCATATAAGACGACATCGAAGCAGGTATAACGCACACAACAGGCAAAACAAGAAACTTCGACTCCGACTATGTTTACACTGTAACTCCGCATTCTAGCATCTGACATGCCTACAGGTATAGCAGATACGATCGCACTGACCATAGAAGAAGAATTCGAAGGACATTTAACGAGAACGATGAGCAAGTGAAGATTCTTCGACAACATCAGTATGCACACTGTATCTCTGTATTTTATCATCTCACATGGATACCTCTGGAGCATATTAGTTCGCAACGATCATATAAAACGACATCGAAGCGGGTATAACGCACACAACAGGCGAAACAAGAAACTTAGACTCCGACTATGTTCACACTAACTTCGCATTCTAGCATCTGACATGCCTACAGCAATAGCAGAAACGATTGCACTGACCATGAAAGACGACTTCGAGAGACATATAACGAGAACAATGAGCAAGTGAATATTCTACAACAACATCAGTCTGCACACTATATCTTTGTATTCTATCATCTAACATCGGAGCGGGTATAACGCACGCAACAGGCAGAACAAGAAACATTGACTCTGACTATGTTCACACTCATACTTCACATTCTAGGATCCGATATGATTACAGCTATGGTAAATACGATCGCACTGACCATATGAGATGACTTTGAAGGACATATAACGGGAACAATAGGCAAGAGAAGATACTTCGACAACATCATTCTGCACACTGTATCTCTGTATTCTATCATCTCACATGGATACTTTTGAGGCATATTGGTTCGCAACGATCACATAAGACGACATCGATGCGGATTTACCGCACGCAACAGGCAAAACAAGGAACTTTGACTTCGACTATTTTTACACTGTAACTTTGCATTCTAGGATCCGACATGCCTACAGTTATAGCAGATACGATCGCACTGATCAAATAGGACGACTTCGAAGGACATATAACGAGAACAATTGGCGAGTGAAGTTTCTCCGACAACATCAGTCTGCATACTGTATCCCTGTATTCTATCATCTCACATGGATACCTCTGAAGCATATTAGATCGCAACGATCATATCAGACGACATCGAAGCGGGTATAACGCACACAACAGGCAAAACAAAAAACTTTCACTCCGACTATGTTTACACTGTAACTTCGCATTCTAGCATCTGACATGCCTACAGCTATAGCAGATACGATCGAACTGATCATATAGGACGACTCCGAAGGACATTAAACGAAAACAATAGGCAAGTGAGGATACCTCGACTACATCAGTCTGCTCACCGTATCTCTGTATTCTGACATCTCACATGGATACCTCTGAAGCATATTAGTTCGCAACGATCATATGAGACGACAGCAGAATCGGTTTAACGCACACAACAGGCAGACCATGACACTTCGATTTCGACTATGTTCACACTGTTACTTCGCATTCTAGCATCTGACATGCCTACAGTTATAGCAGATATGATCGCACTGACCATAAAAAACTACTTCGACGGACATATAACGAGAGCAATAGGCAAGTGGAGGAACCTCGACAACATCAGTCTGCACACTGTATCTCCATATCCCATCATCTCACATGGATACTTTCGAGGCATATCAGTTCGCAACGTTCATATGAGACGACATCGATGCGGGTATATCGCACGCAACAGGCAGAACAAGAAACTTCGACTTCGACTATGTTCACACTGTAACTGAACATTCTAGAATCTGATATGCCTACAGCTATAGTATATACGATCTCACTGACCAAATAAGATGACTTCGAAGGATATATAACGAGAACTGAAGATACCTTGACAACATCAGTTTGCACACTGCATCTCTGTATTCTATCATCCCACATGGATATTTTTGAGGCATATTAGTTCGCAACGATCATATAAGACGTAATCGAAGCGGGTATATCGCACGCAACAGGCAGAACAAGAAACTTAGACTTCGACTATGTTTACACCGTAACTTCACATTATAGAATCTGATATGCCAACAGCTATAGTAGATACGATCGCACTAACCAAATAAGATGACTTCGAAGGACATATAACAGGAACAATAGGCAAGTGAAGATACCTCGACATCAGTCTGCACACTGTATCTCTGTATTCTATCATCTCAAATGGATACCTGGAGCATATCAGCTCGCAACGATCATATGAGATGACATCAAAACGGGTTTAACGCACACAACAGACAGAACATGAAACTTCGACTTCGACTATGTTTACACTGTATTGCTGCATTCTTGTATCTGACATGCCTACAGTTATTACAGATACGATCGCACTGACCATATAGGACGACTTCGATGGATATATAACGAGAACAATAGGCAAGTGGAGATACTTCAACAACATCAGTCTGCACATTGGTTTTCTCTGTATTCCATTATCTCACATGGATACCTCTGGAGCATATCAGTCCGCAACGATCATATGAGACGTCATCAAAACAGGTATAACGCACACAACAGGCAGAACATGAAACTTCGACATCGACTATGTTTACACTGTTACTTCGCATTCTAGCAATCGACATGCCTACAGCTATAGCAAATAGGATCGCACTGACCATAAAAGACGACTTCGAAGGACATGTAACGAGAGCAATAGGCGAGTGACGATACCTCGACAACATTAGTCTGCACACTGTATCTCTGTATTCTATGATCTCACATGGATACTTTTGGGGCATATCGATTCGCAACGATCATTTAAGACGACATCGATGCAGGTATACCTTACGCAACAGGCAGAACAAGAAACTTTGCTTTCGACTAAGTTCATACTGTAACTTCACATCTTAGAATCCGATATGCAGCAATTATAGTATATACGATCTCACTGACCATATAAGATGACTTCGAAGGACATATAACGAGAACAATAGGCAGTGGAAATACTTCGACAACATCAGTCTGCACACTGTATCTCTGTATTCTATCATCTCACATGGATACCTCTGGAGCATATCAGATCGCAACGATCATATGAGACGACATCAAAACGGGTATAACGCACACAACAGGTAGAACATGAAACTGCTACTTCGACTATGTTTACACTGTAACTTTGCATTCTAGCATCCGACATGCCTACAGTTATAACAGATACGATCGCACTGATAATTTGGGACGACTTAGAAGGACATATAACGAGAACAATAGGCGGGTGAAGATTCTCCG